GTTGTTTTATGTGTTGATAAAGATCAAATGAGACTCGAAGAAGGGTATAAGACACAAGATATGTTGTCACCAACAAAAGAGCTTGAATCCTTCAATTTTTGGGTAAATAGAAAAAACTTAATAAAAAAATGATCCGTCATTTACCACAGGCTTTTTCACTGGTTCTACTTTAATAGTTATTATTATTTCTTTTGTAGAAATACACTGATAATTATTTTTTATTTAAGCAATTATTTATCTATTAAAATCATAGAACATGTTAAAAATTATTACAATACCGATTGATAGAAAATATATAACACTTGGGTTGTTTTGAAGTGGACGACCAGGTATTGTTTTTACTAAACTCTTTTTAAAATGTATGAATTGTGTTCTATAAACATTTATAGCATACAACCCGATTTTAATAGCAAAAGAATTGAAAAACTGGAAAACAAAAGTTATCTATGGTTAATTTAGATTTTTTTTTCATTTTTTCATGTAAAATAATTGTGTAATGACCAATATGATTCAAAATTTTAATATTAAACCAAAGATTATATCCCTTAACTAGGTTAAAACCCGTGAAATCCACGGATGTTAATTTTAAATAGAATTAAAACACGTTGAAATCCGTTTTAAAAAGAAAAAAACAATATTCATAATTCAAAATTATAATGACTAACTAAATATTTGCAATAAAAAAAATATCAAAATCATAATAACTAACTGAATATTTAAAATAATATATTGTTTAATATAAAAAAAATAATATCTAACTTATTAGAAAAATATATATATTTTTATTTTAGAATCTCTTTCACTTTCTTCACTATAATTTTCTTCACTTAATGCCTTTTTTTTTTTTTGTAAAAATATGCGTTTAATATCTAATATGTTAAATATTAAATTAATATACAAACATATATAGATAATGAAAAATAAGGTAAACGAATTTGTTAAGAATAACTGTAACATGAATTCATCAATCACACACTTAATTAACAATTACAACTGAAATTGTAACTATAAATTTTAAAAAACAAAATAAAATATTTAAGTAGATCTTTTCTTATAAATACACAATTATATATAATATTTGACACAAAAATTGATTGATAACTTAAACTAAACATAACATTTAACTAATTATAATTCAACATTAAGGAATGAGAGATTAAAAAACTTAAATAGTTATGAACATTTACATTTACCTTTTATTTTACTTATTAAATTTGTTTAAAGATGTATTGTATATTGAATGAAAAAAATAAAAAAAATAAAGAATTAATAAAGAAAAGTTAAAACAGTTAAAAAAGAAAAAACAAGGAAAAATATGTTTTCCACATGAAGTTCTAACCTTCTAAACATTTTCCCTCATTTTTTTTGTCATAATCACTAAAATGATAAGATTAGTGGTTCCATTTTAACAAATAGAACACAATGTTGATACCGAATAAAATTTGGAATAATTGATGTAAGATCATATCTTGTTGCAAGATTACATATATGCACATCAAGCCTTCATCAAAAATTGATGTTATTACCTGTACCATTATCACCAAGTTATGCTCTAACTTTTAAGACATGCAATTTCACTATTATTTAAAAATAAAAAAAGAAATCATTCCTATATGAAATTAATCCATTATTTTATTTTGTATAGCTTGGCTACGTACGTAACTGCATCACATATAATGATTGTCACCTGAGTTAACAATTCCTTTTAATTAAGTTTTCTAATATAAGGTGGCTATCATTTCCTTTATCAACTAAAGAATCTCTTAAAACCAAGTATTGTACAAAATAAAGATAACAACATCCATTTCCATCTTAGGACAAGAATCTATAGAATTAAATTCTAAATTTAATTGATCAAATATCATGTCAGACCTAATATACATACACAAAATGCCAACTCCAAGTAAGTAATAAAAGAGGAAATTAGAGGAAGAGAGAACCAAGATTCTATAGATATGGCAATTAGAGGATATATAAACCCAACATAAAGTTCCATCATCACCAAACCTAGACATAGTTAATTAAAATTAACAAAAGAAAAAAAAAAACGGAATATGATTCAACTATATCATGTTGATTAAAACACATTAAATAGGAAAGAGACACAAGGCATATACATGCACACTATTCTTCTTGTAGATGGTGGATATAAGCTTTCGTATTGGATTATTTTCCTTCTGTCCACTGGTTTGATGGCAAAAACAAAGAAATTAAAAGAAAATTTCTAAAATCAGGCAACAAAACCAATAGACACACTAAACCAAAACAGGTACATAGAAAATACATGCTCCGCCATCATCCTTGTTGAGGAATGAGCCTTCCATATTGGATTGCAGGGTTGTCTGGTGAATCTGGATTCCACCTCAACACAACCTCTGTAGTAATTTAAAAATCTCATTTTTAATATATTACTATGTCACAAAGTAGTAGACAATAATTCATACCTCAATAGGATTAACATTACATTTAAAATCCTTATTGTAGCTTATCATCTTTGGGTCGTAGTTTCTAGAATCATAGCATAATACTTTCAGTTTTTTCCTTATCATCAACATCATTATTTTTGTAATGAACACCATCAGTCATAAGGGTAAGTTTGTTATTTTGAATGAATGTTAACAAATCTTTATCTGATTAATCTTATCATGCATCAAAGAATGCAAGAATAAGACCATTAAATACATGCCATTTATTGTATACTTGTGAATTTTTTTTTTTTTTTCCTGTAAAAGATGTAGAATTTCATGAGCAAATCAGTCACATACAACAAATCAGTATACCTTCTTATGGAAAGACTGTTAAAAATCAAATTTTTATAAAGTATAATGACATATTCAACATATTTTTTAATGTTTCATTGATTAATTTATTTTTCTATATAAAATGCAGAAAAAAAAAAGATAATTATAAATGTGATTGATTATAAAACTCAATGGTAAAGAGAACATCTACATTCTATAAATGAACTGGAAGTAAAACTCAATGGCAGATTGAGAGTTTTCATAAATCGATACGAATGGATTAGGAAACAAGCTTGATCTTTCTTAGAATTTTATCTCCTTTTATTACATCCAATGGATGGACTGCCATAATATAGTCCGGGATCATAAATATCAATATAGTAGCTGTTATAGGGATAAAAAAGTCCATTGTTGCCATTATAAGCTTGCATATGCATCTAAATTTAAGCCAAATGTAGTAGCTACCAAAAACACAACTGTTTCAGTAACCCAATTGGAAAAATAGTCAGTCCCAATTTTAATTTTATCCTTAAGGAAGACCCAAAATCTATGGAAGCTTGTACATATTCATTGGTGAAAAAAAATGTAGAAAGTTGAGAGATGAAGTATGTGATCCAATCTTCCGTAATTAGAATAACGGTAGAATACTGGAATTAATGTGGATCAAACATATATCATCAAGTCAATCCCCCACCCCCTCAAAAACGTAAGAAATGTCAAATTGACACAAATACCTATGATACCACTTAAACATGAAAGCTTTATTGTATTTATGCCTTTAATAAGCACATAAAAATTACAATTTTTTAAGAAATTTATTCTGACGTGATAAGATTGCATAGTTTTCATTTGCACATCTATTTACTTTGATTTCCAATTTTACTTTTTTAAGAAAATCACAACAAACTGGTGAGATTGTCTCAAGCTTTTTTGACCAACTTACCAGAAAATTAGGTTGATTTAGATTAGTATTTTATATTCATCCACATACCAGATGAGTAATTTTACTAATTCTTTTCAAATCAAATGAGTGAAATAAAAAACTTTTTTAAGAATCTAACACATCAACACTTACTGAAACTTTGTACTTTAGTTTTAATTACAAGGAAATAAATACTTTAACTTTCTCCACACAGAGATTCTTGTAAAAATTATGATTAGCACTGTTAAAAAGCAAGCTTTTGTTTATGAATGTTCGATTTGAATTTCTAGTTTATCAAGAACTTGTAAAAGCCCTAATTATATTAAGAATATCATACTAAAAGCCCTAATTTTAAAATATAGTCATATGAATTGGCAAAGTAATCAATAACAAAGACTGTGTATGCTTAAAAATTATCCATTTGAATGTAAGTAACATGACTAACCTGTCTCTAACATTAACTTCTTCGACATTAGCTAACAGGCGTTGAACTACAACAACATGAGAAAAAGAGAGATTAGGGCAGATGTGTTAATAATGACAGGCATGGAGAAATCTTAGCGAGATGGACAGAAAATAGGGTTAGAAATTGAAAAGACTAAGAAGAAGAATACGAATTCACCTTGTTATAAAACCAAGACAAAAGCTGATCTGAGCCGACCATTTTGTTTCTTTGCATAAAAATCTATAGGATGAAGACGAAACGCTAGGATCCAATACCATCGAAAACACTAAACACCACAAAATCACCACTGTAACACCCATTACTACCACCAATCGCAACCCTTAAGCCACCACCACTACCAACCACTGAGCACCATCACCTTCTACCTACCACCTCCTCTATCTGAAAATAGTCGTATACCTCACTTTCTCATCTGTGTTATCACTACTGCCAGGACCACAAACCACTTGCCACTTTAATACCATTCTTTTACCACCATTGCTCAAGCTGAATTTCATCATGGAACCAATCAAACCAAGAGAGAAACGAAATAAGGAGAAAGAGGCCCACAATTAGGGATTTCAAAAACGATATTCAAATTTCACTTCTCATAGAGGTTGAAGAAATAACGGGATTAGGGATGGAGATTTTAAATTGGCAAAATTTAAGGAAATCAATAGAAGAGTTTCCGATTTTGAAGCAATCACATGGTCATTTTGGGAAAATCACTTTCAGAGAGTGGGCGGGAAAAGAAGCTTGGAAAGGGCTAATTGATTGTCACGTGACATATTAAAGATACAAATACACTACATCAACAAATTTACCAATTTCATTTCCAACAAAACACAACAATTTCTTTTTCACTTTTCATGTAAAAAGAAAGAAAAAAAAGATTCCTCTTTTTACTATAATTGAGTAATAATGACTATATGACTTTAATTTTTCAATATTAAAACCAAATATCCCTTCATATAAACTCAAAATTAAAGGTACACATACACTTGATCAACAAATTTACGAAATTTCACTTCCAACAAAACACACGCCATAGAAACAAGCGTTAAGCGGCATGTCTTCACCGATCTCTGGTCGGGAAGATAAGATACAACATGAAATCAAATGAATCACAGAAAAAGAAAGAGATCCGATGAAACAAAGAAGTTAATCAATCGTAAATCGTAATCAATATCTCGGGTTTTGTGGGTTTTCGGTGGGAAGTCGAGTGTGCAAATTATGGTTTCGTGGGTTGTGAAAGGTATTACTGACAGCAGAAGCCGCACCTTGGGCTAAGTGGGTTGCTCCCATGGCGGCACCCTGTGCGAACCCCATCGCACCTCTCGCCGCTCCGCTAGCCACATCCCCCGCTCCATGTGCCATCGTCTTCACCGAATTCCCTGCCTGCATTTACATTCCAACTTTTTCATTGATACAAAATAAGAGTTTAATAGTATACAGAAAAATTGATAATATGAACATAAAATAAAATTTTAGTGGTCAATAATATAAAAAAAAAAAGTTAATAGTCAAAGATATATAAAAACGACCAAATATAATAAAATTGACAATTGTTTACGATGTTAATTTTCCAAAAAAGAAAAACAAAATAAATTACCTCAGTAAAAAAACATTTACTTTAAATAATAACGAGCTTATAAAAAATTACTCTGATTTGAGAGATCATTTTCCACACATTTATGCATTAGCTCACTTAAAAAAAAAAATTATATGTATTTGGCATATATATAATTTTCGTCCTTAATAATTGGTTTTTGCATAAAGTACCTGATATACAAGAATAGAATCTTGGGATTCGCCCTGACCATCTCTACGCAACTGTAACAAAATAAAATAGCAATAAGAAAATTGATAAAATTGCAAGCATGAAGGTTAACAAGTATAATTAACATCTACAATTATGTGCCAAAATGAATGGTTGTATTGACCTTTAAACATGTTCTTTAGAGTTTCTTATCAGACTAATATATTGAATTTGTTAAAAGAAATTATTATTATAATAGAGATGTTTTTTTTTTTTCTTTTAAACAATTTAGACGGGTTTTAAATACCTTACTATAGTTTGTGCTACATTTATATGCTTTTGAACCCGTCACATTTCTGGCTAAACTTCTATAATTTATACATTTGACAGGTTAACTGCGAATTATAATCCAAATTAATTTGTAAATTTCCCTCCCCAAATTCTAGCAACAATTTACAATCATGGACACAAATTTGGTCATATATTCACATGTGTTTCTTGGAATTTGAAGAAATTTTTTCTATTGATTTTTATTTTGTTATGAAAGTACATACCCTAATAATAACCAGATCCAAAACTAGCTACACACATTGATATAAAATGCGATTTTAATTACCTGACATTGTGATTGATCATCGTTGCATTGTCCATCAGAGTCGAGTAAACTTTGCTGACTAGGGGTTGCTTTCATTCTTTATTTGTTTTGAAATATGTTTAAAGATTACAAGTGAATCAAGAAATGTGTATTTATAGGTTTTATGAAGATTAATTGTTAGTTATGAGGTTGTGGAAGGAGACCACAATGTGTGGATTTGGTAACGTGTGGCATTTTAATGTTTGGATATGCTGATTTATGGATTAATGTATCTAATGGTTGTAAACTTGGTCAACATGTTAGAATGAGAGGTTTCCTAAGCTTTATGGTTAATTGTTGGAAAAGTGTGGCCATTGTTTTTATGGAAGATGGTGAAAACTGAAAAGTAGACCACGACAATACGACATGTCACATTTTGGGTAGTGTGGAGTGTGGACGTTTATCTCTCTAAAAAGATAAAAAAAAGATTGAAAATATGTGAGTTTTCCTATAATTTTTTCTACATTTGAAAATACTTAAACAAACTAGTTCAATACTACAAAAAGGTTTGATTTATTAAGGGTAAATGTCAATGTAATCCAACCAACTTTCCGGTTTTGTTTTAAAAGGTCTCTTACATATATTTTTTTTTATAGTAGTCCAACCAACTTTCCGGTTTGTGTTTTAAAACTTAGAATTGACTTATTAAAAAATGTATTGAATTTCATTTTTCCCGGTTTCACCGGTTAAATTTGGATTAAATGACATTTTTACTTTTGGAGTAATAAAAAAAAAGGAATTCAAACTCTCTCTCTCTCTCTCTCTCTCTCTCTCTCTCTCTTATCATCAACATGAAGAAGATAGATCGTTAAGAGGGTATATTTCTTTTCCTCACGTCGGCTACCCCTTCTCTCCCTTTCTCCCAGATGAAACCTCATCGGCAACCACATCCAAATTCCTCCTGTTTCAGTGAATCCGTATCGTGAAGCCAGAATCTAAAACATGCATTCACTGGTATCGAATTCACTTAAATCGGAGGCTTCATCTGAATCTGCGAATCAAAGGTCCACCGACCCCAATTGAAACCCTTCCCTTTGTTGACTACTCATCGCCTGCTATGTTTCATCTTCACCGCATTCTTTGTTTCAGTTTATATCCATGTAAGTACAAAAGTAAAGAAGTCGGTGGATCGTTCAGAACCAAACCATTGTTCTAAAGGCGATGACTCTCCTATCTCTTTCTCACTTTCTCCTTGACTACTAGATCACATGAACCCTACCAATTTCAAATAGGATTCAAGTTCATTAGGATACATCCCCATAAATATCCTTACCCTACCAAAAGAATATGTTTCCACAATGACCATAAATCACTTTATCGATTTCAACCGCCCTTACCAAACTTCAACATCCGTCTCCCCATCTGCACCTTCACCACCTAATCAATCAACAAACTTACGCCCTTAGAAGACAATCTAGCCACTAACAAACATCATCTCCATTATCAAAATTTCTATACTAACCACACACCCTCAGAAGACGTTGCTATTAATAATGGGGATCCACATGACGATATAGTGATAATGAAGGAAAGTACATCGACTGATGCATTAGGTTCCATTGGAGAAGAAACCGTAGTCGTCGGAATGGTTGGAATCTCCAGAATGGAAGGACTCGTTTAGCTCGCCTGAGAGTCAATACCCATTTCATTGATTAAATGTAAGAGGTTAAGAAGTTGATACTCGTTGAATCAATTCTCTAGTTTGATCCCCAAAGACTCCATCTCCATAACAACCACTGAGATTTCTTTTTCAAAGATCTGATCGGACCACCGGACAATCACTTGCAATGGCAGAATCGATGAGATGAACTGCCGACAAAACCCAAAAAAATCAAAATGTATAGTCATAGAGTGCACCTGTAGAGTCCCGATGGGTGGTTGGATTCTGTGATTGGGGAGCAACAAAAAACTCTGTTGAAGAAGAACAAGATGGATGATTTTAGTTTTATTTTTTTTAGTTAAAAAATCATATTCATTAAGGAAACCTAAAATTATAATGTTGATGTGGGTGACACATCAACTTTAAATGTAGAGGTGACATAAGCAATTGGTTTTCAACGGTGAAAGGGACCATTTAAACTGGTCAGCACACACTTTATGACCCTAAAAAACAAAAAATTAAGTTTAGGGATCATTTAAACAAAAACCAGTAAGTTGGTTGAGCTATGTGACATTTACCCATTTATTAATTATCAAAACTAAGGTTGTTAAGTGTTATTTCGATCAAAACCAACCAAAAATTGTATTTATACACACTTAAAATTAGGTCAAAATCCATAAAAACCATTACAGTTCGAAATTTAATTTTCCGTTTAACCAATGAAAAACATATTTTTGATTTAAACATTAGGAAAATGTAAATAAGTACAAGCAGTTTGATGGTGATCATAAAACTTTGATTTCTACAACATTACTCTACTTTGGATTTTTTTTTTTCCGGTTCAACGAATTGAGACTTTGTATTACAATTTAACCACCAAAACTTTAGATTTTTTATTATTATTTATTATTTATTATTTTTCTTGAAACTTTATTACAGAAAAGGCAACTTTATCAAGGTATGATAATCCATTCCGAAACCCTAGATTTGTTTCTACTAAACCTCTAAAGTAATTTTGATATACATCGTCATGTTCAGAAAAAAAATCATTCAATTTCTTTAATTTCGAACGGATATGATTTTCCTATGCAAATGAATATAAGTTTTTCAATCAATGTATACTAAAATATTTCTAAGAAATATATTAAGTAAATTCCATACAGATGTTTTGAATGTTTTTGTTTAGTTGTCGACTGATAAATTTATTCGTCAAAGATATTACAATATTTTTTTATATGCTTATAATTCATGTAATATAATTAATAAAACCTCTTATTCCAATTAAAATTGGTTTTTATATCAAAGATTATGTGGTTAAATCATTAAAAAAAAAAAAAAAGCTTTGGGTGTTTAACCCAAATATAATTCATGTAATATAATTAATAAAACCTCTTATTCCAATTAAAATTGGTTTTTATATCAAAGATTATGTGGTTAAATCATTAAAAAAAAAAAAAAAAAAAAAGCTTTGGGTGTTTAACCCAAATTTTTTTATAGAATTCAAAGTTTTATGATAAACTGAAAACCTTATATTAAAATAATAAAATAAATAAGTTAATGGTTAAATCAGAAAAATATTACTTTAATGATTAAATAAAAAATCAGAGTACCAAGCTACAATGTTTTTTTTTTTTAATGGAATTTAGCTTTAAAAATACCAAGTCAATAGTACAAAAGGGCTTGAGTTGTCGTTTCGATTTCATTTCCAAAACCTTAGATATTGATTTTGATCCTTATATATGTATTTTATGTTTTAGAAGATTTGTTACAGAAAAAAGAAACTGTCACAATATATCTGCTGTTACATGTATAAAGGAGGTGCCAATCTACACATGTCTTATATATGAATGATAATATTTTTTCTTTAACGAGTCAATTAGATAAAAGAACTAGTCAAAAGAGAAACGAGTTAAATGGATTCGACATGTTATTTATCTGCGTTCATGTATATTTATATGAAATAATTATTGTTATCATGATTTACGATATGTGTGTGCCATGATGCCATCCGGCTCCGAGTAAAAGTACATTATTTTTAATAGATAAAAAAATGTAAAGTCACTAGAATTATAACCATAGCTTGAAGGCTTATTTAAAGCATTTTAGCTAACAAAATATGTGTGAAGACCCAAGGTCAAGCAGAATCTAAGGTCGAGCCCAAGCCAAAGTTGAGTCAAAGCTAAGGTGTAAAGTCCAAGATTCTAGCAAGGTGTTAGAGTTTAGTTTAAGCACTCTTTGTCCTTTTGAATTATGATCCAACACAAAAGGTCATAACTCGTAGACCCATAGATAGACAGAGACTCCAAATATGTCACGACATACAAACTCTAAACTTTGACTTTATGATTCTATGTTATTCTCTCCTATAATGTATCTAGACTTTTGACTCTTAACTAAGGGCAAGATGCATTCAACTTTATAAAACTTATCCGATTAATATCCTAACAATCCACTTTTGGTACAAATTTACCATTTAATTGTTATCATGCATTGCATTAAATTGCATAGGGTTGAATGTAACATATTTAAAAAAAATTAAAGCTAGTTTGCTTTTTTCGATTGAACTCGAAATCCATTATTTGTCAACTAGACATCTCACTAAAATTAAATTGAATCAGTTGAACACCAACTAAATATTTCTTCTTGTTTAGCCATTTTATTAAACTGTGTACTCTTGTGCTCTAATTTTTGAAGAAATGTATTGGGCTTATTTAAAGTTATTTCATCTAAAATGTATGATTTCAATTAAGAACGTGAGATTCTTGTATAGATTAGTAAAATTTAAACTCACAATTATCATAATGTATGAACTCATGGAAGTTGCAGGAGATAGAAAACTATCGTAGCAAAGTTAGACGTAGATGCTCCAAAGAAACAGAGCTCAATTATTCATGGATTACCATGGACGAATCAAAATCCAGCAAGCCACGTGTGCCCCACACGCGTCAACCTCCAGGACACCTGTCACCTTCTTAGTCCCAATGCATTCCTATATAATACTGCCTGATCCTCCGTTCTTTTCCTCGTAATCATTACTTCTGCAAATCAAAATATATTCAAGATCAAAAATGGCGTCTCAGAATCAGCGTTACAGAGCCGGTGAAGCCAAAGGCCAAGCTGAAGAGGAAACCAAACAGACCGGCAGCTACATGTCGGAGAAGGCCGGAGAGGTAAAAGAGAAGGCGTCGCAGATGGATCAGTCTACAAAAGAGACGGCGGCGGTCGGGAAAGAGAAGACCGGAGGGTTGATGAAGCGGACAGGTGAGCAAGTGAAGAGTATGGCACAAGGTGCTGCTGATAAGATGAAACAGTCATTTGGTATGGCCGGCAGCGGCGAGGAGGAGGATGATGAGTTGGTGCTGGGTCGTGGGTGACAACACCGCTGCTATTGCCACCGGCACCGCCACTGCAAGTACTACTAGGAGGAATAAACTACTGATTCTGATATGAATTTGTTTACTTAATCGTGTTAATCGTTGTTGTAATGGCGTTTTGTCATGCCATGTGTATGAACCGGGTCGGTTTTTAGGTTCGGGTTCGGTAGATACCATGGCGAAGTGGTGGAAATTTATGCATGAATGTTCACTAAATTGCAAAAACGCTTGGTATATTTGTCTAACTTGGTAACTGGCGAATCCTTGCGCAACAATACAATTATATATTTAAAATAATAATTTCTACCAAATTAACATAAAAACACTAAAACATCTATTATAACATTTATATTAATTTTTCATTTCTAAATCACAAATCTCTTTCAAATACATTAATGATAAGTAAAACTTTACAACCTTATAAAAAAATAAAAAATAAAAAATTATTAGTGATTACTAATTAATAATCATAAGCTAAAATCTTTTGAGTTGTAATTAATAAATATATATAAATTAGAAAACTCTTAAGTTGTAGTGTGAGTTTCAAATGAATGTGGTACATGAAAATGTGTATTTATTATTATTATTATTATTATTATTATTATTATTATAAATAATTGGTTTAGATGCTTCAATCCTTTTAATTATTAAATATAAAGATATTTTATTATAAATTTATAACATACAAAGGTGCATATATATGTTAAACAAATCACATAATATATATATTTTCGTAAATATCATATGTAATTCTTGTCGTAGTAATATGGATAAATTACTTTATATGAAGAAAATATCATGATAAGTCAATCATAGTTAAAATTTATGTTATCTTTTAAACATTGTCTTGTAAATATGTTGTGTAGGATAACCTAACAAAAAAATAATAGAAAATAAACATAATCAAAATAAAAAAACTACAATCAAATAAATAAAAACTTTGGGTGGTTGAATATATAAATAAAAATATTACATAAATATACAATTAAATCAAAAGAAAAAACTAATATTAGTCTACTTTGCTCAAACAAAAAAACCTATATCCGTTTTCTAAATCTTCTTTTTTCATTTAACACCATTCAACCATACAAACTTGATGACATTTCTTCACTAACCTGCAATCAAAATGTTTTTCTTGAAAAAGAAGAATCAAAAAGATATTCCATGCAAAACATTGATGTTTGGAGAGTCACATTCAAGATTGAGTAATACGTACAAATCACATAAAGATTAAATGAGAAACTATAAAGAAAGAATAGAAAAACTTCATTTGTTTGGGTTGAAAGAAAAATCATATTACAATTATAATCAATACAACATAACCCATTTCTTCAAATCACCATATTTAGATCGTGCATGCTTCAACTATATGAAAACTTTTGAATCACAATATCTTCAACCAAATGACGATTTTTTGAAAGAAAAATATACTAATATAACTACATATATAATAAGAGAATGCAACAAATTATTAGAAATTTATAAATATTATAAATGTTATTAATTAAGGAATATAAAAAGTTATGTAGGTTTCAATCAATATGGTTTGAGAAAACAAAATATCTCTAAGCATATGATTTTGAATGGTTTGGTTTGAGAAAACCAAATATCTCTAAACATACGATTTTGAATGGTCTAATTTATACTACTGGGAAAAAAATATAACGCGATCAAACTATAAGTAAAAATGATACATTCACCCACAATCTTGACGAATTAGTATAACAAACTAACAAATTAAAAGCTCTAATATAATAGCATATCTCCAAAAGTGGTCATAAGACCTCAACCTAACACAAAAACCTTTAAGTTTGTCTTCTTTGTGAAATTTGTATATGATTTGTATGCATGTATTCCCAAAAGATTGATCTTTTTATAGTAAATTTTTCACTAAATGCTAATTAAACATAATATAAGTTATAAAACTTTTGAGTTGCATTAGTTAAAAAAGGGGTTTCAAATGAATGTGGTTTGAGGAAGTTAAAAAATGGGGTTTCAAATGCATGAGATTCAAGAAAAAATACTAGCTTTATAAGTATGTATGATTTACATTTTTTTTTGTGCAAAAGGCTTGGAGATGCACCCATCGTTGTGTGGCTTTGGTACGACGTAATGACTTTTTAAAAAGGTAATATATTTTTTGATTTGTATACATTTAGTCACTGATCTTTTTTTTTCATCCATATTTACCTCTTCCACTTGTTAACTGTACAAAATTTGTCATTATGACTAACTACTTCAGGTTAGCCGGTAAAAATGACTTATTAGGGTAATATATTTCTCTCTTTATACATATTTAGTCCTTAATATTTTTTTGTTGTAAAATAAGTTATTTTTGTTTTTATACTCATTCATTACTTATAAATGATTTCTTTAAGTTTTTTCTCGCGACATCTTACGTGGGATAGTCATACGGTGGTGAGATAGGTTGAGGTGGTCCTGCTATATGTTGTAGGCCAAGATACCTGGTGCGAGCCAGCTGTAAGCCGTAGGCACAGAGGCTCGAGAAGAGCGGTTGGGTTAAGGCGGCATGCCACAAACCCTGGTGATTCCAAGCCGATGATTGATTGGACTTGTTGCATGTTGGCATTCCAATCCGATAACTGATTGGGCCAAGGTATTCCAATCTGATGAGTGTGGGCCCGTTATGCATGATAATATGTTTGTTGTATCGGGTATTTTTAGAGAACACTCACTAAACTTTATGTTTGCCCAGTTGTTTATGTTTTCAGGTTGTATCATTGATAGTGGGAAGACAAATGCATGACTATACACACTCATCAACAGTATTGAGGATTCCACGTTTCTTATATTACTTTGATTTTCAATAAATGTATTTTGGAATAAACGTTTTTTTCTTAATAATGAATTTATAATTAGGGACTTTTGCCTTATTTAAAAATGATTTTTTTTTGTGAAAATGAGACGTTAACATAAACATCAACAACCTCACACACTTCATCAATGATTGTCCCACATAAGATGTCGTGAGAAAAACCTAAAGAAATCATTCATAAGTAATGAATGAGTACAAAAACAAAAATGAGTTGCTTTGAAACAAAAAAATATTAAGGACTAAATGTGTACAAAAATATTAAGTACTGAATGTGTATAAAATGAGAAATATATTACCATATTAAGTTGTTTTTCCCGACTAACTTGGAGTAACTGGTAATCAGGATTGCATGTGTACAGTTTAACAAGTTGAAGGAGGTAAATGTGGACGAAAAAAAAACTCAGTGGCCAAATGTGTACAAATCGAAAAATATATCACCCTTTTAAGTCATTGTCCCTTTTGGTCCCTATGGTTTCTATTTTTGTGTGTTTTTGATCTATGTCCTATATGAAATGAAAAGTATACCCTTCGATAATTATTTTTTGAATTTCTTTTAATTAATTCCTTATTATTTTAATTAAAAAATCAAGAATTAAAAACTCGATCTAACCTGACCCTCTAATCCCTTCCCCTCTACGACTCTACCTTTGTTCCCTATAAAACCAACCCAAGAAAATACCTCATACACCGGCGACCTTAGCTTCCTCCGGTGCCACCGGCCTCCGTCACTCACTATGTTGCTACCGGCCTCCTTCATCCCACCTTGTTTCCTCCGATACCGGCGAACGAGATTGATTTATACCATACATCCACTGATTTTGAAGGTGATATAGTGGCTGCAAAACAATGTCTTCTAGAGGACCTGCAAGACGATGCCAAGCTGAGGAACTGCAAATTGATCCCAAGCACTAGCACTTTCAAAACCCAAAAAATGATGCGAACCAGACATACCTGCAAGCCAATTTTTGTAATTTTTGATTGGAGAAAAAAATCTAGGGCATGGAAAGGGCCTGCAAAATATATTCCTACAAAATCGCTGATTTTAAAATCATTTTCTAATGGCGTTAGATTCTCTTTGATTTGGATGTTCATCGTTCACCAGGGATCGTGAATTCTTATCATTGTCTCTGTCTTTGGCTTAAACCTGCTAGGCATATAGTGAAGATGTTCCTATTATGTTTTACGGTGTTGTGTTCTTCAAATTTTTATAGGTTTAGCCTAACATAACTTGTTTTGCAGGTTTTTATTGGGAGGGGAAAACGGGGTTGCATCGCATACATAGAAGGTGAGGAATGAATGCACAGGTGGCGAGAGGGGTGGGATTCATCATCTGTGAGAGTTTGAGATGGGGGAAGAAGACGGACCTGATAAATTGGATGAGGCTTTTAATCGATGGATGGTTTGTCTTTTTTTTTTTTTTTTTTTTTTTTTTTTTTTTTTAATGGATTTAGAGAATAGAGAGTTGTGTTTTTTTTTGGATAATGACTTGAAAGGGTAACGAACTTTTGATTTTTTTTCATATTTAGTCACTAAACTTTTTTTCGTTAGCTATTTGTCATTGAACTATTGAAACTGTTCACATTTTACCCTTATGACCGACTATTGCCGGTCATAAGGGTAAAATATGAATAGTGCAATAGTTTATTGGCAAATAGATAATAAAAAAAAGTTTAGTGACTAAATATGAAAAAAATCGAAAGTTCGTTTCCCTCTAAAAAGTTTAATGACTAGAAACAAAAGAACGTTTAGTGACTAAATATGAACAAAAAAAAGTTTATTTATTTTTGTTAAATTGTAGCAACATTTGTTGATGAAGAAATCTATGAAATAAAAATAATAATAATAAAAATAAACAAAACCCTGAAAATATATTTAAAAAAAACAAAAAACTGAAACCGAAATAAAAAAACCAATGGATTGACATTTTCCAAAATAAAAAATCAGAATTTCCAATCTGATTTTGGTTTTACAAAAACATGAACCATTCTCACTGATGTGAATTATGACCATTGGTTTGGCATGCGGATTTTGTGACATCCCATGAATACGTAGTTACAACATCGTCTAAACTCGTAATTCATAGTAAGGGGTTAGAGTATTATCGCATGAATACTTAGTTACAACATCGTCTGAACTCGTAATTCATCACCTATAAGTTATGGGC